TTCATTCTTAGTATAAAGTTACTATTTTTAGACATTTTAAGATTTCTTTTAGACTATTTTTAATTTTTTAAAAAGTAACACTTTTTGATAATGCTCAAATAAGATTTAAAGTCATTTAAAGCAATAAAAATAATTTAAATTAAGAAGTGAAAATCATAATCTCATTTAAAAAATGTGATAAGAGTAGACAGTAAGTCTCACTGAGACAGTATAAGACTACTATCTAATATTAAAACTGTGTAATGAGATCAGTTGAATTAATAATGAAACTATTAAAAAATCTGATTCTGATTTCAGACACGGTCACACGGTCAGTCTAGATCACAGTATATCAGAGAAGTGTAGTTTTTATAAGAAAGTAAAGAATAAACTTATACAAGAATGTATTTAGTTATTTCACAAGTATTATTAATAATTATTACTAAATTCTGATTATATAAGTAATTACTGAATAAACTGAATGAGACTGATTTTAATTTTCAGTCTTAGTCTTATTTTGATTTTAAAAGAATAATTATCTTTCACAGTTTATTCTAAGAAATTACTCTTATTTCACTGTTCTTGAATTAAATCTAGTCATTTTTCACATCATTTCTCTCAGAAATGATTCATTTTCAGATTTTTTTAAAACTTGATTCTGATAAGACTCACATCAAGAAATGTATAAGATCAGATTAAATGAGATTAAATGTGAAATTCATGATCTCACTGATCAGTTTAGACACGGTCACACGGTCAGTCTATTGCTAAGTGATTGACAAACACCTCACTTATATAGAAGCAGTCAGCCTGTAGATAGACTAGCTACTGAGATTATAAATTTCATGTTTGATCTCATTTGATCTGATTCCATACATTTCTTAGCATGAATCCCGCTGAGACTAATCATTAAATAAACATGCAAAGTGACTATATATCAGATCTCAAAATGAAACCATGACTTGAAAAAAATGAGAAAGTGATTTCATTTAATTTCATTTAGTCTCATTCTTGGCATAAAGTTACTATTTTTAGACATTTTAAGGTTTTTTTTAGACTATTTTTAATTTTTTAAAAAGTAATGCTTTTTGATAACACTCAAATGAGATTTAAAGTCATTTAAAGCAATAAAAATAATTTAAATTGAGAAGTGGAAATCATGGTTCTATTTGAAAAATGTGACAAGAGTAGACAGTAAGTCTCACTGAAACAGTATGAAACTACTATCTAATGTTAGTACTATGTAATGAAATCTGTTGAATTGGCAATGAGACTATCAAAAATTCTGGTCCTGGTCTCAGACACGGTCACACGGTCAGTCTATCTGTAGAGAGGAAATCTGATACTATAATTATAACTTTACAGCAGTGTAATTATTCAACTTATTATATTAATAAAGTAATAAGAATTCTTTTAATTTTAATATAAAATTCAAAGAATATTGAGAGAAGTTGATTAATAATTTAAATCAATTAAAAATACAGCTTTATTTTATGAAACTGATTTACAAAGTGCAGATAATAATATTATAATATCAGAGCTTATTAATTAATTACACTGAGATTATTAACTTGATTTCTTAAATTCATTTAAAAAATCAATACTTTGAGAAAAAAGATAATGAACTTCTTTTAAATTATTAATAATAGAATTTAAACAGTACTGTGACAGCTTTAGTATAAATAATATAAAAAAGAATTTTAAATATTCTGATTCTTCACTCATAGTAAAGAAATATTAAAAAATATTTTATAAATATTTCTACTTTAATTACAGAGCTGATGATCATTATATTAGTAATTATAAAAAGCTGAAAAAGAGAAGAAACTGAGAAAATATTTTTTTAAAATTAACTTCTCTTTTAACAAGTGTATCTGCAGAAGATAAAGAAGAGAAAGAAATAAAAAATTAATAATTATCATATTTCTGAATTTATGTTATAATCAAAATAAATACTCTGAATAATAAAATACTGATAAAATATTTAATTAACTCTGAAGCAGATGTTAACTTCAGATCTTATTTCTTTCTTTTTATGAATTGAAGATGATACCCAGTGTTATCTATATAAAAACGGGTATAAACACTGCTATACTGCTAAACCTTCTATCTAAATATCAAATCTAATATTGCCATCCAAAAACACGCTAAGCAAAAATCAACAATCTAAAATTCGAAATCACGCCCATTTCCCTAGCAAACCCATCAAAACCATCCCAGCCACCAACCCCAAAAGCCCAACGCCCGTCTTCGAGATTCCCGCATCGCGCAAATCACCCTCCAGCCAGTCATGGCTCCACATATCAATCAGCGAAACCCACGACAGGATCCCCGCCGACAACGCGTCCAGGGTGCCAATCGCAATGATGGTCGATCGGTCGTTACCGTTGAACTGGTGGATCACGCCCAGCCCAATCGCCATGCCGATTGGCGTGATTAGCGCAAACGCAGTCGCCATGCTCAGCTTGGATGGCGTGAGGGCGGCTCCCAGCTGGGCGATTCGCGCGCCTAGTGCGAGGCCTTCGAACATTTGGTGGAAGATTATCACGATGAAGAGGATAAGATACCCAGAGTCCCCGGCGACGATGAGAGTAAGACCGATTACTGATAGTGGAAAATGTGAATATTTAGGTTCATCAGGTTTGGGAAATTGAGCTAAGGAGTTCCATTAGACTCACTGATTGAGTGAAAGATAATTCCTGCTTCCATTATGACTACACTCAGCTTGTCATCTGGTCGAGCAAGCGAGTGGTGGTGGCCTAGATTGGCTAGTGTGGGAGCGGCTGGTTCGGTGTCGCTCCCATTGGCGGACTTTGTTAGAGCTGGCTGTGGTTCAACGTCACAGTGTGCGTGCGGGTTGCAGTCGAGCTTCCTTGCAAGGAGAAACCGGTTTCCTGCGTAATCGACTAGAAACGCGAGGAATATTCCGGCCATGGCAATTGCGCCTGTGGTTGCTTCGTAGTCTAAAGTCCCAAGGCATGGGTTGCTGAAGATGAGTTGTGCATGGGTAAGCAACTACGTTACGGGGTTGTTAACGTATATTCGTACCATATAACATACTGCCTTGCAGAGAACTTACATGAATAAACGCAGTCGACACCATAACTCCAGTGCCAAACTGTTTAATCACAGTGAAAAGAACGCCGTTCAAACTCGTATTGAAAAATCGAGCCCACAACATTGGGCCAAACACGGCGATGGCGCTTGTGGCAAGTATGACAAACAGAGATCCAATTCGAAGCGGTATGTTGTAGTCTCGATCCCTTCGTTCACAGGAAGGCGGCGCTGAGGCTTCGGATTCTCCACTGCCCGTGCAATGCCTACAAAATGGTTAGCCAAGATAGTCGACTATTTGGTATCCTCTCTGTTGGCACCTACTCCACACCGCCATGGAAATGACAATTTTCTCCGCTTGATTGCCTCCCCCCGTGCTCGTCGCCGGAGCCTCCGCTTGCGGATAGCACTTGCACTTCGTCACCATCGGGCCCTACGCAAAATCTTTCAAGACCTTTAGTAGTCGCAGGCAAGTAAATATGGGAAAGCACACGGAACAACAAACCTGGTTTCACCATGATAGTGGCAGCCTGTGAACTCTACTGGAACCGCCGAAGGGCGGGTGGTGCCGGTTGCCGACACTTCAACCTCGGAACCATCCCCTCCTATGCAAAATCTAGATGGAAAAAAAAAAAACACAGATTAGTCGTCGAACCTGCAGGACCAGACACTATGCCCTTTTGGGTCCCAAGGGACTCAACCGCCAGATTGATTGTTATTTATTTGGGGACACCTACGTCTTTGTCTCATGTGTATGACAAGCGGTAATGGCTGTCGTTTGAGGAGCCTCTGTAGTGACAGCCGACACTGAGGCTGGCTGGGTCATCGTGGGGGCTACCTGAGTCGAGATGGGAGTTTCCTTCCCATCCGACCCGAAACAGAACCTAACAGGTTATTAGAGAGATGTAGGTCAAGGATGGGAACACAAGAGGCAAAAAACATACACCACGCTGTCATGGTTATGGCAGTCGGAGAGGCTCTGAGAAGCGACCAACGGGATACATGACAATAGCAAGGCAATACGTAGGGGGATACTTCGGGAGACCATCCTGCGGCTGGTTGGATGAGAAGTAGACGAAAGACTCCGAAGCTCAATAAACGTTTCGAATATTCCAAGATCAATAAAATTGTGATCGTGAAGATATCATGAGCTAGCTGCAAAATGAAAAGATATCTAGTGAGATTGGATTTGTGGGGAGAATAATAAGGAGAGTGAAGTAGAATAGTTGGACTTGGATAGAGGTATATATATACAAAATGCAAGCAAAAACAGAGCACATTTTCAACCAAGGGGAGAGACAACGCAGTGTCCGTGCCACCAAGGTACCAGGAACACCTTGATAAGCTAGAGGGCAAGGTGTATGGTAAATGCACGCAAGAGTCAGGTCAAAGAAACGACCCTAAGAGGGAGCAGGGAAGCGGAGGAGAATTATCAGCCCTAATCGCAGGAGGGAATCGGCCGCAGGAGGGATAATAATAATAAAGCAGCTCCAGACAAAAAAATGAATTGTGATGCGAACTTTGACTAAAAAATAGCTCAATATGATTTCAAAATTGAATATAATATTCAATTTGATTTATTTTTTTAATATTATACTTAAGTTTGAAATTAAATTTTAACTTATATTTAATATTAAAACTCAATTTTTTGAATAATATACAGTTTTAATACTAAATTTTGAGATTATATTCAAGTTTTAAAATTTTTTCTTAATTATAATATAATATTAAAAAATTAAATGATTAAATTCTTAAATAATTACATTTCATGCATATATTATCAATATATAATTCTAATATATTAACTACGGAGTACACTAAAACTTGATCACCTCTTCAGAAACTCATGTCAAAGTCATGTCATGATTCTGGTGTTGAGAGATTGGCATGATTCCAAAGCTGAACATCGTGTGAAAAAAGGGAGTCAAAAATTTGCATCATGTTCAGGTTTTTTAGCATCACATTCATCTGTAACTAACTGGGGCAGCTTCCTAAGGTCATGTCGTCCATTCGCATGAGGACCTTGCGGGCACTCGGCAAACAAGCAGTTAAGCAGAATCTTTGGAATCTCCGGAAGAGATCAGATCTCTTCCAGACCCAACGCCTGCTCGGCCACGCCATCAGCACCGATAAGGCCCATATGGAAACCTCGGCGGAGAAGGCTAGGGCTCATCCTGTTGTCCGCAAGGTACTGGGCACAGCCGAAAAACTCGGCGAGGGGACAGGAGAGAGGAGATCGAGCGGTCCGTGTCGCTCCGTTATTATTTTTGGACTCCACAGTGGATTCGCTCCCAAAGGTAGAAAAGTAGAGCAGGGAGGGTGGATATTGGACATTTATCCGCTCACTGCCAGCCCACCGAGACCCACCGTTCACCGTGTTCGGCGGATAGAGATTTCTAGATACTTAACTTAGTTATCATAGGGCACGGCTGCTACTACCCTGCATATCTGGACAATGCATCTGTGGAATCGAGAACTTGAGCAGAAATATGTGAGTCCGCTTAACTTGGCATCAGATACGTACTTGAACAACCAGAGGACTGATCGGTGATCTGTCTCTCATCACCAATGATAGTTGTATATAGTTACTACGTACTGTTCATTTATCGAAGCAGCTGGGAAACAGGTCTCATTTTCCTCCTACACAGTAAACACATCGCTGCAATTGAGGCTCCAGAACTAAACCTTACTTTACTCCCGATTTCAAGGTCTCCCAACGCTCAAGCCACGAATTAAGTCCGCCCGCAACAAGCCAACTCCACTGCAATTCGACGATCCTAAGCCCTAAGAGAAAGATTACTTTTAATGTGGCTGGTCCAGACATCCTCCTGCTTTTAACCATACCCTCATTCTATTTCCAGAAGTTCCCAAATAATGGCATCCACAAAAAGTAAATCTCACTTTCAATACCTTGGGATTCACACTCAACGATGCGCTAAACATTGTATACATACACTACCTAAGGGACCAAAAGCCACCTGTGTTTTGTCAACCAGCCCTATCAAAGCTTCACTTCCAAAGAGCTCAATTATGATCAAACGGCTCCGCTCGGCGGAATTGGGAACCACTTGCAGGAGTGGGTCTGCAGTGTTTATGTTTATATATATATATACATGCCTTGCTGCTTTGACATCGTCGATTTGCCTCCCGGTCTGTATTGGGCTTCTATTCAATGGCCACTGTCGACGAAAAATATATTCAACCCACTCCCATGGTGGCAGATATGTATTAATAGCAGCGGATGAAGCGGCAATATTCAATATTGCAAAGAATGTTCTCATGTGCCAGCCAATATATGGTTTGGCAATCCCTCCAGCTGGTAGCACTACACATCTGAGCATGTTGTTCTACCAGCAAGGACAATCTATCATTCAAAGGCTCGTCCTCTGGATAGATAAGATGGCTTTGCCGAGTGAATTAGGCCCTTCTCGCCTTCTTTCATACGGGACTCAAAGAACGGCGGCCCTTGGGTCGAATAAGAGATGGATATGGCTTGTGCAGCCAACATTTTCACCATGCACAAAGAGGAAGATGTACTGCCGTCGACGAGGGGTCCCATTCCCGGAATCTTCCAAAATGCCCTGTAACGTGATATCACGTGATATCACGTGCACCCCATCAAATATTGAACGGCCGGCTCTGCGGCCTGTATGGCTCTGATTAATCTGATGATGGTGATAGAGGTGATACAAGGTGGAAGAGGGTGGTAGGGGTGATAGGCTACACCATATGGGATGCTGATTTTTCAGCGAAATGTTCCCGCAAAAGGTGGAGATGTCAGGTCATGTTCTTCGCCAGGCGGAACATATGAATATGAATATTATTTTATTCGGGTTATTTTTCGCGAGCTACTTGAAAGGGGGGAATTTCAGCTCTGCAGTTTTGTTAACTATGGTGCCTATCCACTTTATTGCTTCAAAGAAGCGGAGCTTTTTTTTCAGCAGTAGACAGCACCGATTTCCGCAATGCCCTCTCCTGCTCTAGTTTGAAGGACTTGAGTGTGGAAAGAAGGCATGAATGTGCGTGCGATACCTGTGTATCTAGAGATGGGGAGAATGTATGCTGGTTTGTCTGTTGTCCATGGAATAGCGAGTAGAGTGTGGGATTGATAATATTCCTTCTTAATATATGTTGGAAACCATATGATACTACTCTAACGTCGTGGGGAAATACGCTGGTAGGAAGAACTTTGGATCTCGAAAGGGGAACATTGTGGTGTGAAAAGGAGCTAAATCTGGCTCAATTGGAAAACGCTGCTGGTTGAACAACCGTTCGCATCCTTCACATTAAGGGCCAAATCACATTTCGTGTGGTTGGATGTCTGCTGCGCAGCATTGGATTGTTTTATGGCCTCGCTTGATGGTAACAGTACATCCCGCATTTGCTGCTGTGGGCCTGGCGTGGCCTAATTTTCGTCACTATGCGAGAGAGAGGGTATACCGGTGTTCCGTGTGTTTTTGATAGAGTTAGAGTAGGGCTTTCTTTGTTCCTTGAACCCGCATACGGGACAGGGAAATAAATAGTTAAGGCTGTCCTTTAAACACCAATCTAATCTTGCGGAGAAAAACGCTCGCAAGTCGAACTCGAGGCTAATTCTCCGAGCCTGTCACATCTCCAAGCTCCCACGTTTCCAAGGTTATTAACTATTATTAAACTTCAGCCTCCGATGGAAATATGGACGCAGGGAAGCGGAGGGAGGCAGGACGAGAGAACTTCCCATCCCATACCTAGGTAACTTCCAGGGTCACAGGAATTCGAAAATTCCATCCAAATCTTTTTGACTTCGGTTCCTCCGTCCCAGGCCTTATCGATCCCCGAACAGCTCAACTGAACGATAGATATATATACAACAATCCCTTTCAAGAAGATTTTGGGGGATGACCGTGCTCGCCAGAACCATCACCAATAATAATAATTATTAATATTAATGAGGTGTCGTCGTTAAATCCATCCTAGCCGCGCCACGTAGAGGGCCTTGGCTCGTCTTTTGTGGCTAGCAGCAGTTTAGGCTTCGAGCTAACATCACAAAGCGTCTAGGATTCCGACAGATGATTCGTGGAGTGAGCCCTTAACGGGGTCTAATCCTGCATTTCCCCGTGGGTTGTCGGATGGCCTTCGAACGATCTCAGTTAAAAAGCCGATCCATGAGCTGACGCAGTAGTTACAGCGTAAGATCTTGAGAAGTCCAACACACGCCGTGAAATTCTTCCTAAAAAAATCGTGGGTGATGGGAGCTCTCTCCGCGATTTAGCATCGCGAAAGACCCAGGAGTTTAACTACTCGCCTAAACTCAACCAGTACCGTGGCTATCGTGATGACAAGCGACGTGGTGGGTTTCTCCTGCGATCACCGACAGCGCTTCTTGGGCTTCGGCCAGCCAAACGCCGCGCGCGATGGAGAAAAATAAGAGGCGCGTGCCTCCTGATAAACGGAAACGCACCGAGATAAGCTGCGATAAGTGCAAATCGAGGAAGCAAAAGTGCGACAGAGTTCGAGGTCAACCAGCTTGTCGCTATTGCCAAATAAACGGAATCGTGTGCAGCACCAACCACCCGCGCAAGCAGCGGATATATGGCAGCGATGAGACCCTTCGCAACAGACTCGCCCTTCTAGAATCTCTAGTCAAAGGCCTTGTGCCGGAAGCCAACCTATCCAGCAATGATGAGATAGTGAAATTGGGCAAATCTCTGGACATCTCGCTCCCTAATCATGATGAGGCCGTTGCAGACGCGGAAGAGGAGAAGAAGCCGACGAAGCCCGCCAATACACAGGAGGATGAATGTGCCGTTTCACTGTTTCCAGATCAGCAGGGTCAAATCCAATACATTGGGCCGTCCAGCTCATTTGAACTCCATCGCAAATTGCGGATGCTGCTGGGAAGCTATGTTAACTTCGAGTTTACAATGTTCGGCCGCAACGCCGCTGACCATCCCAGCACATCCGAGGCCAGCGCTCATCAAACGGGCAGTGGGAAGGATCTGCGAGGAATTAGGGAGCTGCACAATGTGCCCAGCGATTGTATCTCTCTCTCACATCTTCTGAGGAATAATGATGTGTCTATCCTGGACCCGCTAGTAGACGCTTACTTCGATATAATACACTTTGACTTCCCAGTGCTACACGAAGGCTCGTTTCGCGAGGCGTACGAAATATGGTCTGTGACAGCTTCGACTACAGATCCTGCCTGGCTTTGCACCTTGCTATGTGTCCTTATTCTATCTTGCCGCGGCGGCCCCATTACCGTGTCAGAAGAGGTAGAGCGGAGATGGTGGCGATACGTTCAAGCACTGCTCCCAGCTGTGCTCTTTACGACAAATCTTTCCACGATCCAAGCCCTCATGCTATCGGCTTTACATTTACACAATACAAACCATCGAGATGCTTGTTGGAATCTCACCGGAACAGCAATTCGTGTCGCCTTTGCCATCGGACTACATCGCGACGTCAAACACCTACAAGGCCCCCTACGAAGGGAGCTCGGGAAGCAACTCTGGTGGACCTTGTATGCATTTGAGCTAATGCAGGTCTCATCGTACGATCGCCCCAGCGCCATCGGGGATGTGACGACGCCGACCAGCCATCCAAATGAAAGGATTATAGGCTTTGCCGGCCATTACCCTCAGGACTTTATGAAATGGTCACAGCAGCTAGTGTTGCTTTTGGCGTCAACGTGCAAAGCGTTGAATCAAGCGGGGACGGGAATCATGTCGGGTGAGGACGCATACAGAAGGCCGCTGTCGCCGGAAGCTGGTATTCTACGGGACCTTAACCAGTGGAAAGAAAACCTGCCTCCTCACTTGCGTCTCGAGGTTACTGATTCGCTGGCCCCGTCCTCTCAAAGGCCCGTACTTCTACTTCACGCGCAGTTTAACTATGTAGTAGTTTTAATCTCCAAGCCAGCGTTGCTGCGCAGGGCAATGGGCTTATCCAAAGCCGCCAACGAGCAGCTGCCGCAGAGCCTATACACAGTATCGGAAACATGCGTTGAATCCGCGCGGGCCTTGGGCGCAATTCTACTCAAGTTGGAAGCGTATAATCAGTTCAATGCGCTGACTTGGTGGGACGTGTTTTATACCTTAATGTCTGCAATGACCCTGGTCCTGGACATTCTCTGCCATGTCAATCGCCATGCGGGGTCGCGAGATTTATCTGGCTCTCAAGTTCTTCTTCGAGAACTTGCAGGTCTAATGTCGAGGCAACTCCATAACCCAAGACTTCCAGGCACGATGCGGACATGGGCGGTGGTGGTGGTTGAACTCCAATCGATGACAGAGCAATATGGATCGATACCCCAGTCTATCGTCTGCTCAAGTAAAGCTTCGGGAGACTGGCATATATCAGGCACGGGAAACCCGTATTCATTTCCGATAAATCTAATTGGGACCAGTCCGATTGAGCCCATCACATCGAATGATTTCAACTTCACGTATTCTCCGATGGTCGCCGGGATGGACAACAAGACGTGGACGGCTATCTTGCGCAATAAATAATCTTAATAGTTCCCTTTTCGAAAAGGAACCCGCAATATCAACCCGTTGTATGAGACACGTCACTCTGTACCCCGCACCGCACGTTGTTGCGGATGTATGCATCCGCAAATTCAAAAGACGAACCGCAACCAGCATTAATCATATGGAAAAGTTTGGGGGTTGGTGTATTAACGTCAAGGTCATATCCGGACAAAGTTCTTTTATACATTTGTGCACTGGGATCCCGCTTCCATATATTCTGCATGCTGAGATATCTAGGAAGGCCCTTAAGTAAACAGCACTAGCCTGCTATAGGTAACCATGTGCTTGTGCTTTCTCTCCTCCTGCATGTAAGTTAGTAATGAAAGGCCCATGGCTACCAATCCTTGTGACGATGAATTAGGTACGTAAATGCCTAACATGTCGCTTTTCTAGTCCCGTGGCCGGAACCTATCAGAGTGGACGCCTTGTAGGCGCGAACCGCGAATTTAACCGAAACTGTTAATCGGCTTTCTGTTGAAATGAAAATCATTTCCCAATGCGAGCACCATGCGAATAGGTTGACTACACTGCTCCAGAGGAATCTCTGAAGTGGTGAGAGGGGGTTCTCCGTACAGCAGCGGGAGGTTGGCTGGTTTGTCAGTGGAGCATTGAGGAGTTCCGCATAGCCATTGACACAGGACAGCGGGCAGGATAACATCGACACCTACGGCGCAGGAATGGACTCGTATATTATCACCCGTCACCAATAGATGTGGGGCGTGTTTGGCTGGTTGCGGAATTTCTTATCGTATCGCGAGGTTGCCAGCAACCCACAACATGAAATTCGCAGCAACAAGCTAGATTCTTCTCTCAAGCAGGAGCGAGTTGGTAATTGTACAGTACAAGCAGCGGCGGAACTCGAAGGAGAGGGATCTGGGTAGCTGGCCATTGTATATAGTGCTATGCGAATAGGTTAGAAATTAGCTCAAGCGCCGAGTTGCTTTGTTCTATATCAAATTGATGACTGTCTTCCTTCAACGCCTGGCTAGCCCAGAACTTACTTGAGGATACCCCCGTAAGATACAAAAACATAGGGGTACGTGATTAGTTGTTCCAAGGATTTTCAACCTCTTGAGGGATCGGACAGTTTAAACAAATAAATATATATCGAGAGTCTCGCTAGAAGGCCATAAATAAACACCACTGTGCATCCACGATGCATGTCGTGTCTCCTCGATTTCACGCTAATAATAATGATAATGACAATGATAATAAGAATAATAAAAGTGCAAGCAGCTCCATCATGGGCACCGTCGGCATTATGCAGCCGGACTAGCAGGGGCATGGCCTTGTAAGAATCTTCGGTATTATTATTTCCTCCCCTCCCAACGTTTGCACCTTGCGCCTCGCGAGGGGTCTCCCCCCACCACCACCACCACCGCCGCCGCCACCTCTGGCGGCGCATCCTTTGTTCCAAAATGACATTATTATTAATGCACAGCTTCACGAACGAGCGGAATTTACCAGTGGCACACATGCCGTGGTGTAGTTGATGCGAGGAGTGTGTGCGTGCGTGGGAGGCAGGCATGGCAAGGAAGTGTGGGCTGATGAGGCTACAATAATGTCACCCAGAGAGACCCGGGGCGGGAGGAATCTATTTAGTAGTTATTTGAGAGGGCAGTTAATATAATAGTCGCACGACACAATACTATATATATACAGCAGGTCTGACAGACTCCAAATGACATACACACATTATTTATAATGAATGGATGAAGCCTTTTTCGTTCGTGGAACTTTTACGGTCAAGGTCTTCGAGAGCAAGCCTATTAATACATATATTAAATACTTTGACCCATCATATCCGAAAAAAAAGAAAAGAAAAAAAGAAAAAAAAAAAATCATGGCATCACCGACCGACCCGTCCTTCACCATCGCCATTATCGGCGCAGGCATAGCCGGTCTCGCCCTCGCCATCGGCCTCCGCAAGCAAAACGTGTCCTATAAAATCTATGAAGCCGCGCTACAATTCGATGCTATTGGCGCGGGGATCGGGATGGGTCCCAACGCGCTGCGGGCGATGGAGCTCATGGACGCGCACTTTGCGAAAATGTACGACAAGATCAAGGTCGGGAATGCATGCCACGACAGGCTGCATGAGCAGTTTGAGATACTAAGTGTTGCGCAGGGGTTTGGGGCTGTAGATGGCTGGCGCGGCGGGTCGGTTTCGCATCCGAATTTTGAGAGGAGTAGTGCGCATCGCAAGGCGCTGCTGGAGGTGATGAGCACGCTTATACCGGAGGGAACTGTGGAGTTTGGCAAGAGGGTAGTGCATGTTGAGCAGGTGGAGGGGAAGAAACAGGTATACTTGACGTTTTCCAACGGCGATGCTCTTGCGGTCGACGCCGTTCTAGGCTGCGATGGTATCAAGGGGATCACCAGGGGGGTGGTACTAGAGAGGGGATATCCGGAGGAAATCGTTGCAAGGTACTGCAATACATATGTCTACAGATGCATCGTCCCGATGCAAGAAGCCAAGCGGATACTTGGTTCGTATGCCGAAAATGCAAAGTGGTACATGGGCGAGGGACGGGGGTGTGTAATATATCCGATCTCGAAGGGAGAAGAGGTGAATGTAGTTGTTTTCATCCAGGACGAGCGGTCCTGGGGAAGGGAGCAAACGGCGATACAGGTTTCAAGGGACGAAATGCTTTCTGATTTTGATGGGTTTGATCAACGACTAATAGAGCTACTAGACGACGTACGTAAGGCCTTTCTTCTATTTTTCTTTTCAAATGCGCAGAATGCGCAGAATGTGGATTTACAGCGATGTGGTTAACAAAATAGATAGAACACAAAGCCTGTCCGGTGGCCTCTATTCCACCATCCCTACACCTCAACATACTATCGCGGCCATGTTTGCCTCCTAGGGGATTCGGCCCATGCCTCAAGTCCGAGCCAGGCAGCCGGAGCAGGGCTAGGGCTGGAGGATGCGTTGGTGCTGTCCAGACTTCTTGGTCTAGTAGAGAAGCCAGACCAACTTGAGATTGCTTTTGAGGTGTACAATTCCATCCGCCAGCCTCGGGCGCAGGCTGTGGTCCAAGAGAGCCAGGAGGTTCTCCTTGCCTATTTCCTGGACCATCCAGAATTTGGCCATGACATACAGAAACTCACAGATTATGCGAACAGGAGGCTTCCGTTGATCTGGTTCCATGACTTGGAGGCAGATGTTAAGACTGCTGAGGATCGGTTTAGGGAGCTGACCGGAGAGGAGCAATAATTTTTATTTTATTTTATTTTAAACAAGCCTCAATCGCTCGCTTGCGCTCGCTTATTCAGCTTGAAAAATGTGCTGTTTAATCCCTCAGGTTGAATGTAAAAATATCTTAATGCACACGAGCCTCTGTGTGCAAAGACATTGCAGAGCTATGTAAAAACATATAAAGATTCATTTTTCAGTGTAAAAGCATCAGCTAACTAAGTAAGAAAAAAAATAAAAAATATCTCACTCTGTTCTATTAGCTTATATATTATTCTTAAGAACAGTTTGAGTAATCTGAAGAAGGCTTATAATAGTTCTGAATTTAATCTTCAGAACTGTATTCTTCTTGTACAGAGTCTCATTTTCAATATAAAGAGTTAAAATCTTAATATCATAATTATTAACTAATTTAATACTTATTATCTGTTTTTTTTCAAGACTTTAGCTTCTATATTCTCAGCTGTAGAGTACTTCTTGAATAAGCTCTTCTTCTTAACTTTCTTTCTCTTTTTATTCTTTTACTTTTTTTCTTTCACTTTATTATTCTTCTTACTGATATTAACTATGTATAACTATTAATTAATTGTATTAAAATTAATATATTTTATATTAAAAAGTAACTTACTTCTATAATAAAAGTAGTAACTTTCAGTGCTATTATAATAATAACTAATACAAGCTTTATAACACTGATTCAGAGTGTTAATACAGATAATAAAAAAGTCTTCTTCTTTAATATAATAACTACAGAGAACTGAAAAAATAGTATTATAAAATTATAGAAGAAGAGTTTTATAATTTATATTAATTTTTATATTAATCTGATAACTCTTCTATAAGACTAACTTATAAGTATAAAATAATTTAATAAGAGTCTATAGCTTCTTTAATAACTTCTCAGACATTCTTTCAGTTAAATGAGTTAATAGTTAACTTAATAATCTAGAACTGACAGACATAGCAGAGACTGATATAGATATAAATACAGAACTAAGAATAAAATTAATAGCTAATAGCTTAACAGACTGAATAAAATTATTAAGAACTATACTAACTATCAGAATTGTAACAAATGCCAAACTGCTTCATCATGAACTCGCTCAATTTTTTGAATAAGAACCCGCTAATAGATTCATTGAAAAGCCCTCAATTATACAAGTATTTTGACCCCATTGCTGACTGCATACCCTGTGTGATGGTGAAGTTATTCAGTTAAACATGAACCAGATATTGTTTGAAACTCCTGTGTGAGATTATTCCCTGTTCACCTCTATCACATCACAACCCCGGGCCAAATTGCCATACAAATTGTAATGTGAAGAGACCTAGTCATATGCATCAATGTTCTTGATTTTAAAAGATCTTTGATCTGTAATTGTGAAGATATCTGAGAAGTAATCTCTGTGAAAACCCTGTTTATCTTTGATGTTTCAAAACATCAACATTAAGTCTCACTCTTGTATCATCCTTTTCAATCTGGTCTATCTCTGATAGAAAAACACAAAAAGATATCTCAGTAACAGTATTCAATACATAATCAGTGAATAATAAGTTAACAGTATATTAATAACTATAAAATCAGTATATCTCAAGATCTGACTGAGTCTTTAATCTCTGCATAGTGAGATATATTAAATCTAGTTTTAATATCTCAATATTCAATAGATTCTGCAAGAGATTGAGAACAGCAATACTAGGTTTCTATTAAATTTAAGAATTAACTCTATATTAATATAATCATTGACAAAGTCTTCTATTTTAAAATATAAATAATCAGTTCCTCTACATTCTGCTGATAATATTTATATTATTATATAGAAACAGACTTATATTCTCTATAATATCAAGACTCTGAAGAGAGAAAGTCTAGATAGAAAGTATACAGTAGTATATATCTTAGTAGTTTCTATCTCATTCTTCTACAGCAGTTAATACAAAAAAAAAAACAGATCTTAGAAATAGTTTTTTACTTCTCTTAAAAAAGTAAGATGTTTTTCTTTAGATTTTATACAATATTCTTACAAAGAATTAAAAACAGAGTTATTTTCTGTTATAATTTTATATTCTTTTAAGTAAGAATTACTTTTTCAGTGATTGAAGAGCTTTTATTAATACTTAATTCTTTTTTACACTCTTTATTAACTGATTTGAGTTGCACACTTATTATGTGAAAAGAATTGAATGATTTAGAATAAAATTAAATAGTTTTAATCAATTTCTCTGTAAAAAAATGATTTATTTTTTATCAGTTTTTCTCTCAAAAACTGTTATATTATCTGATTTATTATCAATTAATATTATACTATTTCTCACTATATTTCAAAAAAGAGATTGTAAAGATTTTATTGATTTATCTTAAAAATCAAGTTTAATTTATTAGATTCTCTTTAAAAATCTAACCTAGTTACTGAACTAGTGTGAAAAAATCAGGTATTTTATATATAAAAGTCTTTTATTCTTCTTTTGAAATAGTCTGACTAACTTTTCAATTGAAATCAGACTTAGAATTCTCTTAATTGAAATAGTCTGATTAACTTTTTAATTCAAAAGAGTTTAATAAATTTCTCAATTAAAACAGTCTGATCAACTTTTTATTGAGTGAGAATAATGAGTTCAAAAATACTCTCAGTTAGACTGGCCGGCGGGACCATGAATTTCACATTTAATCTCATTTGATCTGGTCTCATACATTTCTTGGCGTGAGTCCCACCAGGACCAAGCCTCAAAAAAATCTGAAAATGGACCATTTCTGAGAGAAATGGTGTGAAAAATGACCAGATTTAATTCAAGAACAGTGAAATAAGAGTAATTTCTCAGAATAAACTGTGAAAGATAATCATTCTTTCAAAATCAGAATGAGACTGAGACTGAAGATTAAAATCAGTCTCATTCAATTCATTCAGTGATTGCTTATATAATCAGAATTTGGTAACAATTATTGATAATGCTCATGAAACAACTAAATACATTCTTGTGCAAGTTTATTCTTCACTTTCTCATGAAAACTACACTTCTCTGATATACTGTGATTAGAGGTATTAAACTATCTGATAA